GCCCGGTGGTTCATAATTGAAAAAACTGTTTGCGCATTATATATACAGCCTCTTAAAATCACATAACTTGTAATTGTTCCTATTTACTCTAGTAGTTTTATGTCTGTATCTTCTTTATTTTCTCATGGTTTTACATTTTTCTCCAGATTGTTTTTGTCCTTGAAACTTTAAACAGTTTCCTCAGTTTGAATTCAGTACCTTATCGCAATTTGCTGTATGAATGAATTTTCTTCTATTACCATCTTATTTTATAAGATCAGTGGAATATTTATATTTGGATTTCAAGCACTACTGAAAACCATGGAAATGAATGGTTTCTACAGGTCTGCTAAATCTGCCTTTTCTTCCTCTACGCACATTCTTCTCTCAGTTTTCCTTCTTTGAAATATATTTTCCTTTTTTTTAAGTTTATGCAGAAAGTTAGTATATTTTATGACTCAGGTTTGGCCTGATTTTTGAATCTTTTGGGACAGCTGTTTCACTTACAGTCTGTTCTTTTAGAGCCTCCCGATGGCTCAGCGGTAATTTTAAGGGCGTATAGCGCTAAAATTCAGGTTTCGATACCTGCAGTGGATAGAGCACAGATACCACATTGCGTAGGTTTGTGCTGTGCAACACAAAATGTTTTTGAAACAAATATACTTTTTTCTCGTCTTGAATAATACATGATTTTTACAGCTATGAATTTCTCTTGTAAGTTATAGAAAACAGAACATCCTCACTTCTCATATTGGTTCTTCTGCAAGCTGAGAACGTTTAGACATGTTCTTTTTAATTTGTTTATATATGCTGCAAATTTTCTTTGTTCAGATTCAATTTTCTTAATCTTACTTACTAAATGGATCTATTGTGGTTTCTTATGACAGCGAACGATAATCACTAAATGTTACTTTCCTCCAAGAGTATCTTGTAAAGAAATCTTTAGGAAGTAGCGGCACCTCTTGTTTTATTTCTAGGGGGAACACCTTCTCTGAAAGTAATATGTTGGTGTTAAATCGTCTTATTTTTCCGTACATCACTCAAATACCAAAAATAATAAGAGCTGACTCAAGAAATCACATATTTTTCACATTCAGAATCACGAGCATGTTTATTTTCTTCATTCTACAAGGTATTTCCCTTAATTTTTAAAGATTCCGTAACTTGTGGTATAAGGTAGTGATCCTCTTCAGTATATGGCATTGGTGAATTACTGAGTTAATTATTTATATTGGTCTTTGAATATCTTTAAGAAATTCAGTTACTAGAAATAATATACCTTTTTGATATCCCTTAATAACTAATATTCCACTCGTGTTTCTTCTATAAGGTACAGTGGCCCTTTATAAGACTAAAAATCAGCTATTAGTACTTTCGCCTGATGACAGTTATGTGTTGAACAGTATAACTCGACTTGTATCGAACTTGGTTTTAAGGCTAAGGTTCCTCTACTGGCTAATTGGTTAGCTTTTGGTGAATATACATCAATGTCATATTGAAGGTCAACCATTGTCTTTGTAATGATAGCAAGTTGGGATTCTCAAAAACGTTGAAAGAGTACCTTGGCACTAAGGCAAGCATTTTTTAGGATAACGAACTGTTTGGTGTATATTTTAAGATGTTTTTTCCAAAAGTCGAAAACCCCCATGAGCAGGAGATTGCGCTCTGTGAGTGACTTTATAGTTTCACGGTTTTATCAAACATACTTGTTATTTATACATTAAGCTATTAGATAATCATGGAATATTTGTTGTTGGTTTTTTTAACCTGAATGACATCATATACTTACAACGGGCTACATAGCCGAGTCAGAGACCTCTATGGTACGGACATAGCCGTTTCTAATTTTGACCAGAGTGAACGTAGCTATTCGGTAGCACCTGCCATCGCTTGACGAGGCTATTCTTAACCAAATAGTGGTGCTGACTGTCACTTTTGTAACGCACTCACAGTTGAAAGTGCGAAGCGTGTTTGATACTACCACGTCCTGTATGTGGAAAATATGAGACCCAAGTAAAAATAACATCTCAATAGACACCAAACATTCGAATAGCCTTTTTTTCTATATATGTAAATGAGTATTTAAACTGGAGTAAACTATCCTCTGACTTACCTTAGACACCAGAGCATCTTGCATTCGGCTGGATGGCAGGTACGTTTTCTTCCAGGTCGGATCATGTACATGTCGAAGGTAGGAGCCCATGGGTATATCATGTCTTGGTTTAGCTTGAGGGAAAACCAACTGAACCGTCCGATATGGCTAGTAAAAACAAAAGTAAAAACTATCGTATATGATATTCTTCTTTTTGACAAATGCTGTGATAAACGTAAACCTTTTTGTGATAGAGCCTTTTTCAACTCTTGGGTAAGTATCCAGTTACAATACCATTTTCATTATGCAGTCTCCATTTGAAATATCTTTAGCAATATTGTCACTTGGAATGTCATACCATGTGACTCATCTCTTGTCATGAAGATATTACCGTGATTGTGAGGTGTTTCACCTTTTTTACTTAAACTTAACTAGTGACGGAATTAGTTTGGTTTAAAACAGTCTACCATTGCCTACTTGCAACGTTGTAATTACAACATAACAAATTTCACATTTGTTGCTAGTGGCCATGTATGATTTCCAATCTCCCGAATTAATTATTCAGTTTACATTGATCAGTATATAACTCTTTGTGAGCGTGTCACCTTCATGGTGTGTCTGTGTTAAAAAAACAAAACTGTACATTCATTAATCTATGAAATAGCAATTTTCTGGTGTGTGCAATAAAATCCCATTACTAGGGGTGTTTTTTTTATTTGGAAGCAGTAAGTGTATTTTATGTAATACCTTTTAGTCTCATTACTTTTTGTATGTTTATTTCGATGAGAAATGCTATGCACCGCCAGGTATCGCAACCTTTTCTTCTGCCCGTCTAGATTATTGTAAAAGTATTGCTGTGATATCTGTTAAGCACTCTCATATCTATACTTCTGTTTGTACTCTCACATTGTCATTTTTCTGTATGTAATTTTTAGTAAACTACAGAACATTAAAGGTTTTTATTTAATCGTCATGCGCTAACTTTGACGGTGGGAACATGTCAGTGGCACATGCATGAATGTATATATGTATGTGTGTGTGCGTGTGTGTGTTTTAAATATCCTGGCGTCTGATTATGGAAAGATGTTTAACAAATGCATACAGTGAACTTATTCCGAAACAACATAATTTTAATTAGTCGTAAATGATTTATAGATAATGCTTCTCTTACATAGTCAATGGAAACAGAGACCAAATATCCACTGTCCACTCATTTTTTTAAAGTAGGACCCTGCCCCCACTTTTAACAATAACAGTAAGAATTTTTTAACGAAAATTTTAATAATTTATGCTCGAAAATTGTTGTATCTCTACGCATTTTCGTCTTTAATTGTCTATTTACAAGATATTTCTACTAGAGCGGGAAAATTAGTTATTTCCACAATCTGAAAAAAGAATTCCAACAGAAGGCTGAAAATTGACAATTAGAGCTAAATTATAAATATATTAAATTATTTTATCCAAAACAAATGGTGATAAAATTAAGTCAAAAGAAAATTTAAAATCTCAACATATCAATTATAATTTTATTTTGGAAAAAATTGTGGGGTTACATCATATAATTTGCAAAAGTTGATGGTATGATGCCGCACAGTATGCGAGCATGGATGGACACCTGAGAATTTGTTCAATTTTGATAAAAGAGTTAGCATAAAGGATCACATATAAAGTGTAATAGACTTAAAATAAGACCCAAAACTCGAGCGCTTTCGAATAGTTGACTATTCTTCTTCAAATATTTACTTGGATAAAAGTCATCGTACTTTACTAGTTAAGAACATTTTCATAATGTTGTGTTTGGCTGCCCCCCGCTGTTTCCTTGTTTTATACATTGTGGGTGCTTTTTGTAACAAATATATAAGAATAACTTGTAGATTCTTCTTTGATTAGTTAGCCCAAGATGGGATATGATTTAGGGTGAACTTAGAACAAACTATATGGAAACGTTTCTTTAGCCTAACTTCAGGTATTTTGGATAATTAAAAACACTACAAAGTATTGCTTTATGAAATTAGTTCATTAACAGTAGGGTATTTAAAGAAGAGATTTGGTTATGTAGCTCGATTATAAATGGCACGGTTAATCACGAGTTACACGTAACCATGTATACTATGATTACAGGCTCAAAGTGGATCAAAGTTAATATCATATTATTTAGCAAAACTTCATGCATAAGTCTGGTCTGCGTCCCGGCATGGCCAGGTGGTTAGGGTGCTCGACTCGCAATCTGCGGGTCGAGGGTTCGAATCCCCGTCACACCAAACATGCTCGCCCTTTCAGCCATGGGGGCGTTATAAAGTGTCGGTCAATCCCACTATTCGTTGGTAAAAGAGTAGCCCAAGAGTTGGCGGTGGGTGGTGATGACTAGCTGCATTCCCTCTAGTCTTACACTGCTACATTAGGGACGGCTATCGCAGATATCCCTCGTGTAACTTTGCGCGAAATTCATAACAAACAAACAAACGTCTAGTCTGTTGAATTGGGTGTCAGGGAAGGAATTCGCTCTAGGTTTTTTGGAATTGTTGGTCATAGATCCAACGACAGTGAAATATTTCATGGACCGCAAACGAATAAGTGATTTTGGTGTTTTTAAAGCTTGTCAATGAACCTTACGAACAGAGTTTCTATCCACTTTTATCTTTATTCAAATTTCTGTTACGCCTTTAAACTAGAGTGGCCAATATTTCATATTTTATTTACTTAAACAGCTTTAGAACACAACACAATATCTAAACTAGCTGTGAAACCTATGTCTAATAAATTCTTCAATTTATTTTTCAACCGTCGTTGATTTATTTATGTTTTATAAAAACTATCCTCTCATATCTTCTCACTTATTTCCTTTCCAAGATGTTGCATACTCGCACTAGGTTTAAAGTAAGATTCTCTAGGACATCACCTGAATATATATCATACTTAGTTCTCGTTACCATAAATATAGTTCAAACTTCTCAGTGGAAGTAAGCTAAACTATAACAAAATAATGCCTTGAACCTACGATAAGAATTTTATAATCAATTCATCTTCAGCCTCTCACGAAGTGAGGTTTACTTTTCGAAAGGACTGAGATTATCTTTTATTGTTAGTATTGCTATTATATTCAAATAGAATAAGACATTCACAAATAAACTATATTGTTAAAAATCATATATTTTTTCTGTATCAGAAAGATATTGGGATAATTACAAACCTGATGTTGTATTTTCTGCTGCTCCTGCTGTTGGTCGTAAAAATATTCTTGTCGTTCGTAATCAGACAAGATCTGCGGTTCGCAACGTTCTGGACGATATTCAGAAGTCATCTTAGTAGTTGGCAAAGTGCTCGGAGTTGCTGGAGAGGAAGCCCGAAAAAATCCTGCAGGTTTTGGCTCGAAGGCAGAACAGGTGGTTTTGGCTAATGGATGGCTAGTCCCCATGGTGCTAGATGTGGTGGGGGTCGTGGCAGGTGAGGAGTCAACCCCGGTCAACCTATGAATAAAATAAGGCTGTATATAAAAAAATTAATAAAATGATTCTAAACACCTGAGATCAGATATACTCGCAAGACCTGTAGCGAATAATTGCTACCCATTCTATATGTATGTATATATGCTAAAACAAGTAAGTTAATATAATATTTAAACGGTAAATATCTTGTAGGTATACTGGTAAAGCTGATTCTAGTCATATTGATTTATCTGAAGAAAGTTTTATATATAGACTTTTTCTGTCTCTTTCTTTCGAAATGCCTTCTGAGAGCCTTAGATGTTGTGATTTGGGTTAAACTGTCTTTATATTTATACAATTGACCACATATTTATGTAGGTATCTCCACTTAAAGAGTATTGAGAAATAGGTCATTTTTCGGGAACGACTGATTTATAGGATACTTACTATTTTTCCGAAACTTGCTAGTGTGTATAACGGACATCACCAAGTTGAGCTTTCAGTTTGACTTCAAAAAATCCTACCTTATGTATAAAGATTTATTTTAGGCGTATTCTTTTTTATAACACAAAATGCCAGGTGGTGTTATTTAGCTCATTTTTGTTTGTCTTACAATTATATTCTAAGTTCCAATTTGTTTCACCTAAGAAGTGAAGCAAACGAACTTTGTACCTGTATATATACATACAATCCTGTAATTGTCAATTACCGACAGGCTTGTTTCTGGCTTGAAAAAGAGCGTTTCCTCAAAACGTCGCCAAGTTAATAAATTACTACCATCGTGAGTTAAAGGTGATTTTTCTCTAAAAGTCTAATTTCTTTGTGTGTATATATGTATGTGTGTGTGTTTGTACATATTTATGTACAACAATGCAAAAAACTAACTGTTAACAATTTAAAGGTTTGGCCTTTAAAATTATATTTTTCCATTTGTTTCTCTTAAGGAAATAAACCCAGTATTTCACACAGTAGACGACAGTCACCTGATAATGGTCATTGGAGTGGTCGAAACGTTGTAATAAAGTTAAACAAAAAATGAAAATAAACAATACACCCAAAAGCTGTATCTCTGAACTTTTATTTAAACTATATAGTGGATTTCCTCTCCTTACAAGGTTCGAATCCACCCAAAAACTGTGAGGCAAATTATAACTTAATTCTTTAGAACCGGAACCCGAACTTCTTGATCACAGTTGCCATAAAATACGCTAAAAAATGGGTCAAGTAGCCATAAGTTTCTTTATAGGCGGAGTCTTTATTCGCCAAATACTGTTCTGATAACATAAGTGGTTTATGAATCACCCGTCTTTAGTATGTGCAAAATACGACACAGCAAACCAAGTTATCATCAGAAGACACCTCGTGCGCTCGACAGTCTTAAAATAGCATATTTTACACAACGACATGATTACTGGAGTGCGTCCATCTCATTGTTTATTCATGAACTTCAACAAAATAAACAAATAAGTATAATTTAAAATAAAATTAATTACAATATTAAACAAAAAAATCTTCAACTATGGCTATGGGTTTATTCCTTAATAAAGATTTTCAACGGCCACACACTACGTATCTTTCGTTTGACTACATTTGTTTTGTATAATACTCCAAGGAGTTCAGCGCATGGAGACGTATATGAAAAATAATTGTATTTGTTTCACAGTTGTTTGTTTGTTTTGAACTTCGCGCAAAGCTACACGA